TTCTTATAATTATTCTAAGAGCATAATTAAGTATGCTCAATTTTGAATTAATATCTTCTAGGTGAGAGTTCCACTTGAGGTTGGATTGTATGGTGATTCCGAGAAATTTTGTTTTCTGTGCTTGTCTGATGCTGTTTCCTTCTAATGTTAAATTTGGTGAGTATTGTTGTGTTGAGTGGGAGTTGTGGAAGGGTATTGTGATTGTTTTGTCTCGGTTTAGGATTAGTTTGTTATGGTGGATCCATTGAACTAGCTTGTCGATGGCTAAATTGGCTTTGTCTTGCAAAGCATTGTTTATTCTTTCTTTGAATATTATATTAGTGTCATCAGCAAAAAGGTACGGTTTTGTTGTTTTCCGTTATTGATGCAGGTCATTTACAAATATAAGAAATAAAATCAGGCCTAGTGTGGATCCTTGCGGGATCCCATATATCATATTCCTTGGCTCGGAGTGATGGTTATTTATTTTGTTGTCTTTTTGGTAAGGTAATACTACTATTTGTTTTCAGTCTGATAAGTATGATTTTATCCAATTGTAAGTAATCCCTCATATTCCATATGATTCTAATTTTGACAATAGAATTGTGTGATCTATCATGTCAAAGGCTTTTGACAGATCGAGAAAGAGACCAACAGGAATTTCTTTTTGCTCTAATGCCATGAGGATTTCATTTACAAAGGTGAATGGAATCATTCAGTTGAATGATTTTCCCTGAATCCATGTTGTGAGTCAGTGATAATGTTACAGTGTATTAAGTAGTTTTTGAATCTTTCATAGAAGTTTTTGTAATATTTTTGAAAAACGTGACAAGAGTAGGTTTGGCCTATAATTCATTACATCTTGTTTGTTACCTTTTTTGTGTATAGGTTTAGTTACAGAAGTTTTAAATATGTTTAGGAAGGAGCCATGAGTTAGTGATTGGTTGTATAAATATGTTAATGGTTTGAAGATATATGGTGCAATCTTTTTATTAAGAAGTCTGGAATGTTGTCTATCCCAGCGGATTGTTTATTTTGCATTTTGTTTATATTTGAAGTATTTCCTTTTCTGATGTTTCTGTGATGTACATGCTAGAAAGAGAGTTTTTTAAGAAAGGTGATGGTTACAGAGGTGTAGTATTTGGATTTCTTGTTTTTAGTAGTTTACCAGTAATTTCAGAGAAGTGTTTGTTGAATATACTGGCTATTTCATTAGGGTTTGTTATTGTTCTGTGTTCATGGACTAGTTCAATATTTTGTGCTTTGTTATTTGCTGGTAATGTTTTTTTTTACAATATTTCACATAGATTTTGTTTTATTTTTGGATTTTTTTATATACTCCTCATTTGACAATTAAACGATTATATTACCATGCCAATATGGCACAGAAAGTTGTTTTGAAAACTGGCAAAATTTAAAACAGGGTTTGTTAAATGTACTTTTAAACAAATGAAATGTTAATACACAACAACAAATAATACTAATTATAATTAATTGCTGGTAATTTACAAATGAGGGGTTTTCTTACAAGAACTAAACAACACATTCCACATTTTCAGATATGTCACTGACATTTCTTACAACTGGTGCTATCTGCTGGGTCATTTCTTTTCAGTGAGGGCCAACATGGTATGAAGCATTTTGTGCCTTTTAAAAAATCTCAAATTTGGACTTGGTTTGGTTCTTGTAAAAATCCCTACAAGTATGCTTCATTTCAAACACAACTTAAAATATACATTTTATATTTAAAATTAAAATTTTCTAACAACAATGATATTGGGTACAGAAGATCCACAAGCAATTATTGAAATTTCCATTTTTCAATGTTGCTTGTGGTTAGATTTGTCATGCCAAATTCTTGCTAATAGGCAAGTTTGGCCTACCAAAATCCTTTTGTTAATCCCCCCCAGCCCCTAATCCAATGAGAGGTTATTGATGTTTAATAAAGAAAAGCTGTATGTGAAAATACTTCTTATATTCTAATCCACAATCATCGGTCAGATATTTGTTTTCCTTTTGCAAATTAAGGCTCTTGCATTCATTGGTCTCTCAACCGGTCATTTTTTTAAATGTGGTGTTAAATAGCAAAATGTGGGATTTGTGATGGTGTTATCAATGGTTAGTCTCAATACAATGAACTGAAGAACTAAATTCTTTGGATATTTGGAAAATGGTTTACAACCAAGCATTGCTATTTCTAAGTTATTATTTCAGAGCCCAGAATTATCATTTATTTTAAAAAATTTCCATTTCTTATTGATGATGGGAAGAAGTTAGTGCATGTGAAATTGCCATATTGGTTCACTACTTACTAGATAAGACTAGACTGAACTGTAAAACCCTGAATGAAATTGTGAGTTAATTAAAACTATTACAAACATTTGCGTAAAATGCATAAACATTTCCTAAATATACTTCTAGATTTTTGTTAGAAAATAAAGTTGCTAAGTATCAAAATGCACTATTGCCCAGCATACCTCTGAGAGCAGATGAAATTTCTTTTGGATCACCCGAACAGAACAGCAGGGTTAAATAACCTAAGCAAAGACACGTGCAGAGGGCTTTTACCCCACCCCCCACCCCAATTTCCAAAAGGGACCCATATCTATATGTTTTGTTTCAACAGAAAGTTAAATTAGGCATAAGAATGGAAAAAAATGAACATTGGGACAAGTTGTGTACATATGTCGATGGAACTGTAGAATACAATAAATCATCTGAAGCATGGATAATTATCAAGAAAATGAAAAGAAATAACGAGTGTAAAAGCATGGCACAAAGAATCCCCTCACAAAAATGGGTACACAACTACTCAGCACTTCTACAAGAAATCAGACCAGAATGTGAAGGAGAAAAAGAAATAAGAGATCTGAAAGGAAACAATTTTGAAATAACAGAGGATGATGTTAAGAAGTCACGCTGCAAAGCAAAAACCAAAGCAGCCCCAGAACCAGGAAATATAAGAATGGAGCTCCTGAAATAAGACAGAGATGTGGTTGAGAGATACTTAAAGAAAATGTTCAATAAGATAGAAGCATGAGAGGATCCACCTGCAGAATGGAACACATCCTACATCTCTTCAATATTTAAGAAGGGAGACAAACAATCATGTGCGAATTACAGGAGAATAGGTGTCATACTATCAACTGTAAGATTGTTTTCTAGTGCTCCGAGTATAAAAATTGAAGATGTACTGTATTGAGTGAAGAGCAGAGTGGTTTTAGACAAGGACGATCATAACGACGAGGACGATAACATAAGGACGATAACATCCACTGTATCAAACAAGTTATAGAGAAACATATAATCAGAAATAGAGATATTTATATGACCTTTATAGACCTCCAAAAAGCATATGATAGTGTCCCAAGGATAACGATATGGGAAGCAATGAAAAGGGTTGATATAAAAGAAAAATGGATCAACCTGGTTAAAAATCTTTTCAAAAACACCAAAGCACAAATTAAAATAGGAGACAAGTTAATTGGAAGCATTGTCATAACCAAGGGTCTAAAATAAGGATGTGGGTTATCTCCTATCTTGTTCAATATCTACCTAGAACAAGCCCTACATAACTGGTACAGGATATGTTCAGGCATGGGGAAAAAAAATTGGAGACACCTTTCCCTTCCTTTTATTTGCTGATGACCAGGTAATCTTTGCTCAAGATGAAGAAGATATGTTGAATATGCTAAGAAAGCTTATTGAAGAATATAATAAATGGGTATTAGAAATAAATTTTAATGAAACTGAATGTATGTGCATTGGACAAGTATTAACGAATATAGACGTGAATGGTAACAAAATTAAAAGCTGTAACATCTTCAAATACCTTGGATCTTTAATAAACAACGTGGATACATGTGCCACAGATATAAACTCAAGATAATTAGAATAATAATAAGAAGTAATTTTGTTAGTATCTTTTTCCTCAGATATCTCTATTTTCAGGCCCTCCCAAGTGTTCTCAATGGGATTGAGATCTGAGGAGTTACCCAGCAAATCCAAAAGAGATATTCTACTGAACAAGATACATTTTTTGACAGATTCGATGGTGCCTGGTCTTGCATAAAGATGCAGCTTATGTTGGAGAACCATTCTTTTAGCCGTGGTATAAGCCTCTCTCTTAGAACCGTTACATACTGGTCTTGACGAATTATCCCTTCTCCAATTTGGAGCCTCTCCTAACCTCTACCACAGATAACTAACAAAATCATGACTTTTATAGGATGCTAAACTGTTCGAATCGCACACTGGCAGGAATTTTGTCATCTCATCTTCATTTCACAAACTGATTTTTGTTTAATAGAATTTCAAACTTACTCTCGTCACTGAAGTAAACATGAACAAGAGCAGGTTCCGAACTATACAATTACTTTATATATTTATTTAATAATATAATTAAACGTATGTACAACCTTTATCCAGTCTTAAGTTTCTGTATTTCTTTGCTCATTCTAGTCTTATATTTTTCATATTCTTGATCACAACCGCTATCTAACAGGAGGACGACTGTTCAAATTGAGTTCTTGTAAACGCCGCCGTATTACCTACTTTGATAAGTCACCTCCAGTTTTGCACAATTTTGATTTTATGGTTTCAGCAGTTCCTGTTCTGTTCTTCATTATGATGTCAATCAATTTCTGTATGCCAAGGACAGATACAGTGCATTTTTGACCACAATTGTTCACGCATTTTGGTATCAAACCTTCACTATTCTCTATTTTTCTGGCAATATTTGCTTCTAATATCTTAAGAGTGATTTGAAAGGTTTGAAAGTCTTATTAGAGCCTTAATTTCTCCTTTTTTCTTTTGGGACAGGTTCTATGGCCTTCCCATTACTGATTATAAACAAAAAAACTTATGTTTAGATAAAGTAAGACAAAAAGCTATAAAAACTTTTTACAAAAAGAACAAATATTTCACAAGAAAAATAAGCTGGCTGTCACTTCTAAAACCAATGTGGCTACCAATAGGGTCAGTGTTGCCATGAGGAAAAAAAAATTGATGCCAAATATTCTTGAAAGAGTTATCATTACTCAAAAACATCAATTGACTGAGATACTTACAAGATTTACTTAAAAAGAGGAGGGAAAAGCAAACTAACTATGAAATTTTGAAGGTGGTCACAATAATATAGTCAGGAACTATACTTTTGTTACATAAATAGTTAAACAGTAATATTAAAAGGACTATTTTACTACTTATTTTTGAAATGTGTAATGCTCCATACAATACCAGGTTTGATTAAATTTTTAATAAACATATTCGTACGTTATCCTTCATTAACTTGTGCTGCTCCTCCTCCCTCTCCTCAGTGTCGCAGCTAATATTAATGTCACATGCATTATAACTGTAGGGGAAAGCATGTATCATATGAACATCAAGCCTGATGACTAATAAATCAATTGACACACATAATTCTAAGTAGTTAACTAAATTTATTAATAAATAACAGAAAATTCTTGAAGGCAATATGAACACAACATACTGATTATTTACAGAAATATAAATATCTTACATATAAACAAGTCGCTTCTCTTCTGAAAATCAAAAGGAAATTCAAGGCAAAACTCGCAACCTTGTCCACACGCTATTCATTTATAGTCAAGTCGATCATTCTGAATTAACAAATATTTCAATGTTGAATGTTAATTCTGATCAACTTAATAATCACTTCACTTTCTATTCACAATTTGTGATTGTGAATTAATTCACTTTCAAAAATTAAGATCTCATTACATTAAAAGTTTACTTCAGTTTTCTCAATTCTTGAATTCTTCTGGGTTAATATCATAGTCCTCCATATATCGAGATAGCAACCACCATTTTCCCCAGAATCCAATATCAACAACGCGAGAAGGGTATGACATCAGAGTTGGAGACAGGTACTCGCATCTGGCTTCAAATAATGCAGTTCTATCATCATGATCGTGAACCCACATAAATGACACTATGCCAAAACTAAAAATTCGCATACGACCTTGATTATAATAGATTTCTATTTGCTTCATTTTCCCAAGTGGTAGAGGATTACGGATTGGATCAGCAAGCATCATAATTTTTTGTTGATTTAATAGAAGTTGATCCCGGAAACTTGTTTCATCAGGATTCACGGCTGCACAGTATGCACCAAGGCCCATTACTGCAACAACAAAATTTAATTGAAGGATATTGTCAGCCCAATTTGCTCCCATATATTGTACATCACAATTCACAAGCAGCCAACATGTCATTTCTGAAAATGGTTTCTACTCACCTCCTGCATATAAACTCATTTTAATGGGAAACTTTTTAGCTCTGTCGTATGTTTCAGAAAATACTTCCTTGTAATCAATTGCGACATTCTTTAGAAATATACCTTGAAAATTACATTAACATACAACTTTAACTTTGTTTATAATTATATTTATAATAACAAAATTCATTACACATATAGTCAAATGCAATTCATTACCTGCTCGCTCTATAACTGTGCCTTCACATTTTTTTACAATTGGCTCGCTTACACGTTGAAACACATTGGTGAGGTTAAGTACATTGGTCTTCACAGTAGTTTGCAAACGACTAAGGGGCAAGTTCAAAGAGCGAAACATTTTGTAACGTTAACTGAAATGTTCCACATTAAAATTACGACCAATTTCAGCAGCTATTTTAAAAATCTATTGCGAATTAAATATACAATCCATCACAAGATGTATCTCGAATCTAATGTGTTTCATAACCCTCCTCAGACCCTCCCTAACACCCTATTGGCGCATGGTGGGTTATACTTCGATTTAAATATAGTGGCACTCACGATCGCAAACTGGTAGGAGAAGGGAACAATATCATTTAATCGAGAGCTCCAGTACTAAATATTTAAGACGTAACTAATTTTACGATTGGATCAATGATCTCCTCTCCGCCCAGATCGTGCCCTTAAAGTGTCACTAAAAATGAATTGGTTGTTTAAGATGCCACTTTGTTTAAATTTGAGAATACAATGGTGCGCATTGCAAAACACTTGAAAGTTGAATTGCCAATGTTTCCCGATTTTTAGTTTCCCGCAGTGCAGATTTAACACGCTCTTCAAAAAGTGTATTGTTTTACTTTCTCGCTTACTTTGTTTTGCTTCGTAACTAGTGAAGTGAAATTATTGTTGTGCTTCGGTGGACATCGGCGACTTTTTGACATAAAGACCTCGTATTGCCGGGTCCTGGTAAAGAACAAATTGATAACACCAAAAAAATGCATTCTTTTGAAATTTTCAAAAATTCAGATGGTACCGTGAAAATCGAACCTATGACTCATTTATAAGTGAATGTTACTCGATTCTTAGAAGAAATGTAAAAAGAATTGGAATTGTTTTGAGAAAAATTTGAAAATCCGGAGGGCTTTCTGTAAACTACCTCCAAATTTTGAACAATGTTTTTCAAAATATCAAAGTTTCGACTCGAGCCAGATGGACAGGGGTTTCTTCAATGTGGAAAAAATCCTACGCATGGTTTAGGCGCTAGTTCACAGACACCAGACAGACGGACGGACGTTTTGAGGGGAAAAAAAGAGAGAGAGAAAAAATCGGTATCTGGGAATCCCTAAATGTGTATTTCCATTGAAATCTCGAAATCGCTTTTCCGCAGTATTATATATTCCTCCACTACGTGTATTACTTCGTATTTATGTACGTATACGGGAAAATTAAATTGAAGGTAGAGATCTTCCCTTCAAATTCAATTTGTTCTCCATAGTAAGTTCTTTCATTAAGGTCATGTACGTTTTTTGAAAAATATCAGTAGTTTTCGCGCAATGTTGCGTGTAATATGTGCAATTTAAAAAAATTACAAAAACAAGATTTTCTCAAAAACTGCCCAAAGTTTGCCTTTAAACTTTTGGTAGGGATAGTGCTAAATGTACCCTATACGAATAAGATGACATAAACGTCATATTGTCCCATTCTTTTGATTTTTCAAAAATTACAAAAATGTATTTTTTTACTTGTCTCTGATGTCGCTAATAATTACATTAGAGGCAATTTTTCACATTATTGTATTTATGAGTACATGTGCTTTAAAAATAATGTCATATACAGTTTCTGGAAAACTCAACCGTTTTCTGTTCTAAAACTAGCTCAAAAGTCCACATTTTCAGAAACGCTCAGACGCCATTTTCTCAAAAAGGCTCCAATTTGTTTTCAAACGTTTCGAACGGATAGTGCTAATTGCACTCTTTAATATGACGTAAATTTCATGTTGGGATTTTTTTGCTTTTTGAAGATTGTACAAATAATTTTTTAAAAGGTCTCTAAAGCCGTTAATACGCACATTTTCAGCCATTTGTAAACACTATAATATTTGTGAGTTAAAGTACATCAAATGAATTCAAATGAAGTTTTCAGAATACTCAAAAACGTTTTCTGAAAAAGAGCTTCAAATTTCGAATTTACGCTTGAACACCATTTGCAACAAAATTGCAATTTAGGACGAGGTTTTACAGTTCTTTAATATTCATAAAACAATATTTTCGTTCTCTTATTATGAAACCGAAAACTTCAAAAAATGTTTAAAACTGTACTTTGGGCGGCGATAGATGGTAGCTGGCAAGAGTGTGTGACAAATTCTTATATCTACCCGAGACCAAATGAAATAAAAATGTAATAGGGGAAGACTGGCATTCTATAGCACCATTAGTTTTAAATTGTATGCAATTTAGAAAATGACAGGAACAGGGAGCATTATAGATTTAGAAAAATAGTGGTAATTTAGAATAATCTTGGTTTTGGTTTCAATTCTTGGCGTTACAATGCGATACGCGATATTAACGCGTTTATTGTAAAATTCGAAGTTACACAAGATTTAATCAGCTTTTCAAACTCTCTATGAAACGCTTCATTCAAACATTAATACTTGATACTTCTACAATTATAAGATTTCAATAATATCACTTGATGAAATACACTGAAAATCAAAGTAACAATACTTACAGAAGGTATATTAGTGTTTTCAGCAAGTAGACATCTCTGTATCCTTTATTTCAATATCAAATTTTGTTCTAGAAATTGCACCACAATATTTATTATACATTGGATATTTTTGTTAGAATTAAAAAAAGTAATTAAATTACACACTTCAATAACTTTTTATACGCAAAGGGCACATTTTAAAATAAAAACAATGGCAACAATAATAATTGTAATAATATCAATAATTATTATTGTTAGGTTATCTGTTTATCAGTAACGATTCACGAAAGACTTCTCTAATCAGAACTTGTATTTTCGTAGTATAGATACAAGTTTGTTTGACAAAAGACTGACACAGTCAAAGAAATATAAGACATAAAGGCGTCGCAATGCCGTCTGTAATATTTGCCATTGGAAAGAGGTTTATTCAGTTAGCATTGTGTTTCGATCTAGGTGGCATTGGTTTCGATCTAGCATGAATCACTGGATTATATACCAATATTCCAGTTCTGGAGACGACATTATCACCGCTCGGTCTGTTGACTGATTCCCATATTAATTTCTTGTGATGGATCATTTTCTTCAATTGCATTTTTATATCCCCATTTGGGTGAGTGTCCTTTTTCCCCAGATTTTACCTTCTTTGCCTTCCATGTGGTCGTTTGGTTGTAGCAACGTCATCATTATTTTTGAGAGTTTCAGAGGAATTTGTGTCTTCTTTTCACGTTGAAGAGAAGTAGATCCAATCTCGCAACCGACTCTCTGGATTTGAGGATTTGGGTCTATTTCAACTAGGGGCTTAGTGTCAATGACTGCGAGTGATACGTCGCATCCCTTCGTTATTCGGTTGGTTTTATGATTTCTAATCTTTACAGTACGTGTTTCTCATTTTCTCTATGTAAAAATATATTGTCCATTCTTTGGGCGCTTCAGACCACTGAATCGGTTTACAGTGCCTGGTTTTTTAACACTGTGGTTTCCCATTAGAAAATCATATCCGATCCTTAAGTTCTATCCTGCAACAAGACCAATTATCTTGCAGAAGTCTAGTGGGGATATGGGCAAGTGTCACAAATCACGTGTCTGATGCGATTTCGTAAACGCATCTGGTATAACAAATATACAAACTTCGGCCTCCAGGGGCAGTAGAATGTCAACTTAACGGACGTAGCTCAAATTTTCTCCGCCAGAGGGAGTTGCTTATACAGCAGTTACACATCGCATTAGTATAACTTTTTCTTCAAGCTTCTAGACAATGTCAAGTTCGAATTTTCGATAATTAGTGTCAATCGAGGATTTTATGATTCAGAAAAGCTAACTTTTCTCATGTTATAAACGGTTTGAATCAAACACATGAAACATTTATATAAATGCATTTTGATGCTACAGACTGTGAACGAAATAAATAACTTAAGACACCACAACTCTTAAAAAAAATCAAAATTTGGTATCAAATTTGCCCCACCTGATGGCGTTAATACGACAAATTGATGAGGCTAAAGTGATAAGGCTTAATATTTCTATCAATTTTGATTGGGAAACAACGAGCGGGCTACAGTGAATTTCTGGTTTTAGTACGTAATCTCATGAAAATACTTCTTCCGAACGCCGCAAAATAGCGCTGAAGATCAAACACTTGAACATCGCAACTAGAGTACGAACATATTAAGTTAGGTTATATTAGGACTGAGCACGGAACACGGTGACATTAGTACACGGTACATTATTTATTTCTTACTACATAATCACTTCACGTTACAATTCAACACATCAGAAAAATACTCTTGAAACTGAACAAAATGAACAAATTGCACCACACGCATAACAAACCAGAGAAAGTTCAAGACTCCAGGAGCGCTATATTCCAACTGGATGAAAATCTGTCCCGAAAAATGAAGCATGCGTCATTTTTTCGTTCAAATTGCATTCAGTCTGGCCTGTCCCTTTTCTGTACCGGCGAAAAATGATGAAAAAAGATCGTGTACAACATGCTTAACTGTTGTTAACGCTCCACGTATCACCGCCGTGCTTGCTGTGGCGTTGCCCGATATCTTTCTGTCTGTCAAAACTGCAGCATGCGCGAAACAGACGATTGCAGGAGAGGAAAAGACATCAAGGCATGCAAAGAAATAATTCACTCAACATTTTATTTATTAATGGTTATGAATGAAATATTTTACATTATTTTCTTATAGTAATAATTTTATTGCCAATAAGACTACGAAAGTCATGCACACAACGAAAATCGCCGGCTATATATTGTAGTATAATACGTATAATATGTATAAAATACTGAATTTTGTTATTACACAGAAGGCAAACATTCACGCAAACATATTTAATTAACATGAATTTAGACGTAATTAGTAGTTGAAAGAAAGGTGTTATCTCTGAATCTAACAGTGGCTGAACTTTTTCCAGGCTTGAATCTTCAGAGGAACTTGAGCCGTTGCAGAGGTGGATTATTAAAGAATCACCAACAATAGATATCAGGAACACCTTCCAATATATATCAGGCTCATCTAGAGGCCTATTCATGTGGTGGCTCAGCGCGAAGTCGCTCGCTTTCCGCCAAGGCCCGGGTTCGATTCCCGTCGAATCACGGACAGTCTCATGTGAATTTTGTTGCAACAAAACCCGTTTGACTGCTTCACAAGGGCTAGTCCAACCCGTGTAAAGTGTCCTAAAGGCTACCCCAATCCTATTTCCTTCCCAATCCTGGCCGCTGAGTAGTGACGCAGGGGCGCGTACGCGGTGATGCTTCTTGGCGGTCCTCTTGGTAACTGACTGCTTTTTCTTGGGGGGAGGGGGGGAGGGAGAAAGTTTGGAAATGTCCCAGATTCTTCATGAAAAATACCATCAAAATTTAAAGTAGATTTATCAAAATCCCTGGGGTTTAAGCCAGTGTAGATTG